TGTTTGTGCTTAAAAGTGCATTTTCTTTGCACTTTTGCACACAAACACCTAGTTCTCTACTCCCATTATTGAGCTGAGGTCCTTGGAGGTGATTTTTGGGGTGATTTGAAGCCCTTTTTGGTCCAAAAGTTGCTGATTTGCTGCTGTGCTCCAAGGGTAAGGCTTTTGTCCCCTTTTTACCCCATTTTTGCAAAGCTTTTTAGCCTATCTTGCAACTATTTTTGAGCTTAACATAAAACATAGAAAAGTTCTGTTTTTGAGTGCTCTAAATAGTTTCTTAAGGGTGTTTTAAGCTTTGGGGTTGTTTGACCCCTCTTAAGGCTTGTTTAGCCCTTGTTTTGTGCCATTTCGGTTGAGCTTCGGGACCATTGTGTTCGGGCCTCCTCACCACTGAAATCTTGAGGGATTTCAGAGGTGAGGATGGTGCCTTGAGGTCCTAAGAAGGAGAGGGTCACCCCCTCTCCTTGTTGTCCTTGAAAAAGGGTCATTTTTGCCTCTTGAGGGAGCATCTAGTCTAAGTGTGTGTTGGCCATGCCTTAGCTAATTTTCATGCTTATTATATCATAATATGCCTCTGTTTTTAGTTGGTTTTGGTACACCATGCTTGCTTAGCATATATGCCTTGTAATGCCATGTTTAGGTCTTAACATGCTTTAGGTTTTGATCCTTGTTCTAGCATGATTTTGGCCAAGCTTTGTGAAGCTTTTGTGTTTGTTTTAGCATGCTTAAGCTCTGTTTTTGGTTGTTTTGGTCGACCATCACATGCTTAGTATAGCCACCTTGCATTTTGGCTTGTTAGCCTTGGGTGTGTGAGTGTGGAGCATGCTTTACTTGCTTTGATTTAGTGAGTTGGAACCATTTTTCATGTCATTTCAGTCCTTATAATATGCTTGCATGCTTGCATTTAATGCTCCTTTGATGCTTTAAGAGGTTGTGTTGTATGCTCCATGTTTAAGCATTTGTGCATGTCCCCATGTGTAGATCATTTAGATGCCATCTAGGTGGTTTTTAGGACTTGCCTTAACATGATTTAGGACTGTTTTGATCTATTTTGGTCATTTGCTTCATGTGTCATACGATCATGCTTTAGGTCCTTGGACCAATTACATGCTTTGCTTGCTTTGATTAGTTGTTTAGCACCTCTTTTCTATGCAATTTCAAATCTTAAGGTGCATGCCATTTGTCCATGATTGCATCCTCTTAAGTGTGCTTGAGAGTTACCTTTTGATGTTTAAAGTTTTAAGCCATGTTTGCATGCATGCTCATATATGTAGATACTTGGCTCGTGACACATCGTTGCACACTTTTGTGTTGTTGCATTTGGCATGCTTTGTATCTAACATGTTGTCCATATTGTACCTTGCATGTGTGCATGTTGTTATTACACTTTGCATGCTTGGTTAGTCGCATCTTTGCATTACTTGCTTGCATGCCCATATTGCACACTTAGGCTCACATGCTTAGGATTGCATTGCATTGGAATACATGCTTCACCTCTTGATCAAGCCATGATAGAGGTTGAAAGCCCCTTGGTTTATTTATGTGCATTGCATTTCATTTGAAATCAAAATGCACACTTGATTCTTTGGGCCATCATGCATGGAAATGCGCGATTGGTGGCCCGAGAATCGAGGCCCATCCTCTTTTGAGTCATAAATATGATAAGGAGTGTGGTTGGTGCATACATTGCTTGAAACACATTGCCATGCCAAGTTCCATCCTCTGCTGCTGTCAAAACAAATTCAACAGGAAGATTTGGCCGGCCGGTAGTGTTGAGTGCCGACCGGCAAAGAATGTTTGGCCGAGAGCTCAATGGATGGTCGATGACCACTTCAAAATGGCCGGCGGTGATCCCACTCAGCCGATGGTGTTCCACAACACTCAGAGAAGCAACCTTGGGAGTTGTGCAATTTTCAGAGAAGTAGAACAGTCAAAGCAGAGGCAAACTTGTGCATGGCGTTGAATTTCCGAGCAAACCCGAGCACGCGCGCATTGGATCCTCTTCCCGAGGCCTTTACTGCTTTCTTAGCTTAGTTAATTTGCTTAATTAATTAGGTGGTCTGTAATGATTAATTAGCTTGCAGGTTAATTAATTTGTATTATTCTTTCGGTCCCTCCGAGCGAGGGTGAATTTGTAATAAGTGTGGGTGCGTGTGTGCGTGTGTGCATGTCTTCCAACCCCCACTTCTTTCTCCCTTTTACTTACCTGCTTTGATGGTTAGTATTAAGACATGTTTACTTTAGCATACCTTATGCTATGCATGCGTGCATCATTCATTAGTCTTGCATGCACCAGGCTCGGCGCATCATACTAACTGCATAAGTATTTCAAATCTAACTTGAATACATGCTACTTGTGCATTTTCACATGTCATTCATAGACTAAGCCGAGCCTACTCTAGCGACATTCCGTATGCGTTGCATTAGGCATTTAAACATGGACTTGGATCATGCATGATTGCTAACATGTTCTTGTTTTGGCACGGAGTACTAGGTGAGCTCTTTATGCTTTAGCATCTCACATGAGTGTGAACGTTAACATAACAGCATGCTTACCATGAGAGTACTTGCTTATGTGATATAACTACTTAAATGCCTGTGGGTGAAGGTTGGATTGTTTGAGTTGGGATAACTCGTTGAAATTCGTATTTTAGCCTACTTGTGAGTAGCAAATTTCAAAGCGTTTTCCAAACAAACGGATATGCAATGTTTTGTTCCAATTTAGGCGATTTAGTCTATACTTGTTTGCTGTGCGCATAACATAGTAAATCTAGGCTAATAACCGGAATAAGAACACATAACGTTTTCAAAAACGGATATCACGGTTAGTAGAGGCCAATCTTCGGATCGGGTGAGAGGGGGTGCTCATAGCTGACCTTCCCCAATCGCACCCAAGCTCCCGAGCCGAGGCAACTTTGGTGATGACGGACACGTGGCCTTTGGCACCGAGTCAGGGTTTCCTAAATTCCCAAAAATAAAATATTTAGGTGGCGACTCTGTATCTGGCAAAGCAATCCATGTTTGGCACTTCTTTTCTAAAAATCTGTTTTCTCAAAGCGATTTGCCGGATTTGGACTCTTTGATTTAGATTAAGAACCGTGACAATTTGAGAGTCCGAACTGTAGTGAACCCAATACGAACAGAATGGGGGAGGACATCATTCCTCTCGGGGCGTTCGGAAACGTCTACACACCTCCTCCTTAAGAGATTTACGAAATAAAATAAATTGAATTATTATTTTTACTAAATAAAGATTCAATAAAGGAGTTTTGGTTATATTTTTTCAATAATTTTTCATAAATGTGGCACTCAACCTGTTTCAACATCATTGTTCAGAAGTCCCCCTCATGTATTAAAAGACAAACTTTTTTATTATTATAAATCTGTGATCCTGTCTAAAAATAAGGCCGTGGCTGGCTTCCAGTCGAGTCCATCATTTGAATCGAAGGGTTCACTTCGACCCATTGAATCTATTTTTGAATTTCTTTTTGGTATTTTAAATTTTCATATTTTAAAGTTTATTGAATATATTATTTCTATAAAAAATTATGTCGATCGGATAATAGATATTATGTATTTAGATCACCTCTTTATGAACCGTTAATTTTCTGACTGTTTATTTTTTTATATGAAAGTGATCTGAATATATAGTATCCGTTATCCAATTGATGTGATTGTTTACCGGGATAATGAACTCAACAGATCCTAAAATGTGAACGGTTCAAATTATTAAAAAGAGACCCAAGAGTGAGTCCAATGGGTCGAATTGAACCGGACTGTCTCAGATCTAAACTGAAGACCGTCCAGGCCCTAAAAATAATTATAGATTTATAAAAGAATTTATAACATAAATTATTAATGTATATAAAATTTATTACAATAATACTATGTACACAGAATCAAATATAGAATCAAATACGAAAACTATTTTGTAAGACGATTGAAAGACGCCATGACAGTCACGGTTAACACCATGACCATCGCAATTGACAAATTTTGGCCAAGATGATAGTTGTGGTCGATAAGCTTTAGGCGATCGGCCAAACAACTAGATGCATATTTTCTGTGTTTAGATTTATGTTCAATCATCTATGCTCCTAAACTTTTTAAATGTATTATAAATTTGTAATTATAATTCAAAATTAATATTTAATTGTTTTTCAATGAAAAAGATTATAGTATTATATGTATCTTATAATTAAAAAAAATGATATAATTTCATATTTTCAAATCATAACTAAAAATAAGAAATTATAATTAAACAACACAAGAGACATTATCAAAGGTCTAATGAAAAGAAAATTAATCAAAGAAAAATGCTAGAGATCGTAAAAAATTTACTAAATTTTCTACTAAATATCTTATATGGGTGTGAGACCTATACTATATGGGTCTTATATAGATTTCACACTCATGTAAAACATTTAGTAAAAAAAATTGATAAAAATTTTAAGATCTCTAATATTACTCTTAATCATAACTAAAAAAAATGACATCACGTGTTGTTTGACAAATGCTATTTTTTGAATTTTTAGGTTAAATTATTTTTTTTTTGGTGAATATCTAAAATAGTTAATAAGAAAAAATATCACATCGAATCCATAATCATTTCACTTTTTCTTTTACAAACATCATATTCAATCAAAAAAAATCTAACTATATTTTCAAATACAAAAATTTTAATTATACTAAAATAACCAAAAACTAAAATAGCTTACTGAAATAACAACTTCCCAAACACCTACTATAGTCTTGTTTGGAAAATTGACTATTTTAGTTTTTAATTATTTTAATATGTTAAAAAATTTATGTTTAGAAATATAGTTAGATTTTTTTATAATTGGATGTGATATTTATAAAAAAAAAAATGAAATGATTATAAATTTAATGTAATATTTTACCTTATTAACTATTTTAATCTATTTTATCTTTTTATAATTTTAAGCCTAAAAAGTCAATTTTTAGCATTTTCCGAACAAAGCCCAAATTTGCATAAAAAAGGCTTGTTTATAGTGGAATTCTCTTTTTGTGAAAATAAAAAGGAGCAAAATGACAGCTCTCACACGTACAGATACATAGATGTTCCCGGACGATAGGAATTTGCAGAAGTGAGAATCAGTGACAGAACAAGAAAAGAAAAGCAAAAATGGAGAAGATTAAATGGATGGCCGCAGTGGCGAGCATATGGATCCAGTGCATCTGCGGCGCATCCTACGCCTTCGCCATCTACTCCTCCGTCCTGAAATCCACCCAAGGCTACGACCAATCAACGCTCGACATGGTGTCCGTTTTCAAGGACATCGGCGCCAACGCCGGAATCCTCTCCGGCCTCCTCTACTCCGCCGTGACGGTCCGCCGCGGCGGAGGATCGCGGCCGTGGGTGGTCCACTTGGCGGGGGCGATTCAGTGCTTCGCGGGATACTTCCTTATCTGGCTTTCGGTGATCGGAGTCATTAACCGGCCGCCGGTGCCGGCGATGTGTTGCTTCATGTTGATGGCAGCGCACGCTCAGACGTTCTTCAACACCGCTAATGTTGTCACCGCTGTTCACAACTTCCCTGATTACAGTGGGACCGTCGTCGGAATCATGAAGGTATATTTATTCTATTCAGACTCAATTTGGGTTTATTTTTGAGATAATTTTATTTATGTGTATATTTAAAAAAGGCAAATTACATATACCCTTGAGGTTTGGCCAAATTACAAATATTTCTTGAGATTTGAGAAATTACAAATTTCTCCTGAATGCTATATTTGTATAACAAATTAGGAGTTAATTTGTTATGAAATTTAAACCCCATGAAGCAAATTGTTATAAAAATACAAACCTGAAGGGGCGGGATGTAATTTTCGAAATCTCAAAAATATCTGTAATTTAGCCAAACCTTAAGAAGGTGTATGCAATTTGCCCTTTAAAAAATTGTGTATAAATTTTTACACATTAAAAAGTAAAATTATCAATTTTGTCATTCAGTTGTAATTAACTTTTAGAAAATCCTCTGTTATTTTCCCTTTATTTTATTTTTTTATTTTTGATAAGTAAAAGGATAAACTCAGGCGATCTGTTTGATTGCCAGTTGGAGTATATTAATTAATTAATTATTTTATTACAAAATATCACGTTAACTCCAATTATTGAGGGTCCGTTTGGGAAGGGTTTTTTCGGGCTTTTTTGACTATTTTAATCACAAAAGATAAAATAAGCTATTTTAGTCACAAAAAATAAAACATCACATCCAACCCATAATCATTACATTCTTCTCTCACAAAAAAAGTCAAAAAAGTCAAAAAGTCAAAAAGTCTTTCCCAAACCAAGCTTTTTAGCCCAGGCTAAAATAGCTAAAAAAACCAAAAAACCAAAAAGCCAACCCACTTTCCAAACGGAGGCTGAGTATATTTAGGCTTGGTTTGACATCTTTAAAAAAAAAGCTAAAAAAGTTAAAAAGTCATTATTCTATTTAAGTCACACCATCCTATTTAAGTTACATCACTTCTCTATTAGATCACTTTAAATCCAACTCATATTTCATAAAAAGTCAAAAAGTGTCTTTATTTAAGACATCCCAAACAATTCCTATTTTGTTTCAGAGTCCTTTTGTATTTTTAATGGGATTTTCTACCATATTTATGTCATTTTTTCTTTATTTATGATCAATTTTTTTTTTTTAATTCTGACTCTATTTAATATAGACTCATAAGATTTTTTAGTTATGTTGTTTGATTATAATTTTTTTTTTAAAATGTCCAAAATATATTGGAGATATGTTTGATTTTAATGATCTAAATCAATTCTAAATGTATATTAATATATTACACGACCCATAATTTTAAGGTTCAAACTTTCAACTGATTTTTTTTTTAGTTTTTAATTTTTTTAATAATGAAAATATTGAGTGTTATTATGTGTTGCATTTTAATTAGTTCATAATAAATTTATGAAATTTTATATTAAACCCTTAAAAGTTATATCACCTCTCTACTACATCATTTCAAACACAACCTATATTTCATAAAAAGTCAAAAAGTATCCTTATTTAGGACATCCCAAACCATCCTTATTTTGTTTCAGAGTCCTTTTGTATTTTTAATGGGAATTTCTACCATATTTATGTCATTTTTTCTTTATTTATGATCAATTTATTTTCTTTAATTATGACTCTATTTAAAATAGACTCATAAGATTTTTTAGTTAGGTTGTTTGATTATAATTTTTTTTTAAAATATCCAAAATATATTAGAGATACGTCTGATTTTAATGGTCTAAATCAATTCTAAATGTATATTAATATATTACACGACCCATAATTTTAAGGTTCAGACTTTCAACTGATTTTTTTTTTAGTTTTTAATTTTTTTAATAATGAAAATATTGAGTGTTATTATGTGTTGCATTTTAATTAGTTCATAATAAATTTATGAAATTTTATATTAAACCCTTAAATTATGCCACCATAATTACCATTTCAAAAGACTGCTTTAATTTATGTTTACCATATCAAATTTATTTTCAAAATTGCTTTACTAAGATTGCATTAATGTATGATTTTGATACATTGACACATACACATATGAAAAATAATTAATCTTTTAACTTAAAATTTAAACATTATTAATTCTTTAACATGTCATGGGCTTCTCTCTGGACCTCCATTGGATTGGAGAGGTGCTGATGGCCATTGTAGGCTCACTTTTAGGCTCTATTTTTATAATCTAAACCATTCATATTTTAGAATTCGTCAAGTGCATTATCTATGTAAAAAATCAAGTTTATCAGATAACGGCAACCATGTGTTTGTATTAATTTTGTATGAAAAATAAAATAAAATTTGACGATGAGAAAATAAACGGTTCACACAAAATTAATTCAAACACGTGATTTCCGTTATCTGATCGACTTAATTTTTTTATAGGGATGATGTACTCATCGAACCCTAAGATGAGAATGGTTTAGATCATCAAAACAAAGCCCAAAAATTGGCCCATTGAATGTTTAATCTGATATTAGAACCCCAAATTAGTTTATATCGATCACGAATCGATAAATTATGATATAATTTATACATGATGTTTAAATTTATTATTATCAAATATTTTTACTAAGATTAAAGCTAAAATATGACATATAATTTAGGGTAGCTCTATCTTAGATAATTTTTTAATATATGAATATATGTAACTATTTATTTCATTATTCACCCAAAAAAACTATTTATTTCATAGTGTTAACATAAATATATAATTTTTTTTTACCTAAGTTCAAATTTTTAAATAGAAAAATACTTATAGATATTTATTTACCAATTTAATAAATAAGTAGATCAAATGACTCATAAGTTGGGCATAAACCAAGACAATTTTTAATGATTACATGAAGCTCGCGTTAGCATAAATATTCTCAAATTTTTTTCAGAAATCCAAACCAAACGAACCCATAATTTTTTTTTACCTAAGTTCAAATTTTTAAATAGAAAAATACTTATAGATATTTATTTACCAATTTAATAAATAAGTAGATCAAATGACTCATAAGTTGGGCATAAACCAAGACAATTTTTAATGATTACATGAAATAAATATACAAGTCATTTATGTATAACTCTGATAAAAATGAATAAAATTTAATTGATTATAAATCATTTTTACTACATATTTTAGATAAATTTTATATTATTATTTAATTTTAAAACTAATTTTTGGCTATTTTATTTATACTCGTGCATAACACTACCACGACCAGTTACTGGTTCTTAACACAAAGTAAAAATAAAACTGACTAAGATTTTAAAAAGAAAAGTGATTTTTTTTTTTTATTTAGTATATTTAGAATACAAAAATTGTTAAAATTTATAAGTTATTGACACAAAACAAAATTAAAATGAAACTAGCTAAGATTTTAAAAGGAAAAGTGATGCTCTATTTTTTATTTATTTACTAGTTTCATAGGCAAAATTCGATGAAATTTATAAATTATTGACACAACAAAATTAAGAAATAAAAAGGTGATCCCTTCATTTTTTTTGTTTTTTTAATTAAGTTGCTTTTGAATACAAAAATTGTTAAAAATTATTAGTAGTAGACACAAAATAGAGTTAAAATTTGTATAATGAGATATCATAAATGCTATTTTTTAATTGCACAAAATTTAAATTTAAAAAAATTATAGTTGTCGTTTAACTCTTATTTAATTTTTAATCTACTACACGTCAATTCTTATTTCTAAGGGTTTTTTTTTTCCTTTTTTTTTAGTACAAATTTTAAAAAATTATAAGTGATATTTCACTCTTATCCAATTTTTAAACTACTACCTTGTTCTATTCTTCTATTATTAGAGTTATATTTGATTTTTTTTTTTCAGGTTTATCTTTTTAAATTTCAACTTAATTTCTTTTTTTCAATCTTCATTTGATATTTACTGAATTTCTCCCTATCTCATTTTTTCAAAATTATTTAATTTTTTCTTATTATTTCACTCTCGTTCTTAATTTTCAGTTGAGTTTATTCTTTTTTGAAGATTTATCTAATTTTCTCTTTCTGTGTCCATCTTCAAATTTAAACTTAATTTTTTATTTTATTTTATCTTTGTCTTATATATATAGAATTTCACTCTTACTCTTCCTTTTCAATTGAGTTTATTTGACCGAGTGTATTTCAAAAAAATTAATTAGTCCTGCATATCTACGTAAACATAGTGAAATCATTCAAATATATTATTTAAACACCCATCCAAATTAATATCACAATATTTAGTTAATTTTTAACATGTTTAATATTGTTTATCACATTTTGTTACTTGTCCGTGCATAGTATGAGTACTATGCTAGTATTCTTCAAGGGATTCGATTCTTTTAAGTTGGTTGTTTAATTTGAGATTTGATTCTTTTAGGTTTGTCATTTAATTTGAAAGATTGTTTAAATTTAGTGGGCTTATTTTGAAGTCTAACTTGATAATTCGAATAATTCATTTTAGGACTCGTTGAGTAAAATATTGATGAAAAACTAGTATTTTTCAAGGGATTCGATTCTTTTAAGTTGGTTGTTTAATTTGAGATTTGATTCTTTTAGGTTCGTCATTTAATTTGAAAGATTGTTTAAATTTAGTGGGCTTATTTTGAAGTCTAACTTAGTAATTCGAATAATTCATTTTAGGACTCGTTGAGTAAAATATTGATGAAAAAAATTAACATGATCAGACATCAGTAGTTATATGTTTGAATTATATTTATTTTAAAAAAATGAATGACAATTATAATTTTAAGAGTAGTCATCCTATATTATTACTGATATCTGATTATCTTAATTTTTTACATAAATATTTTATTAGTAAACCGTTCGAATTTCCTAAAATAAAGTTACAAACTTGAAAAAAATCCAAGTCCAATGTTGATATACTGCCAAGTTTTCCGACTTGAAGCGGTGCCAGAGTGTGTCAAGTTTGTGACCACATTCATTGAATTACGAATAGGCACTTGTTTAAAGGAGGGGTGTGGGCCCCGCATTGGACACAGTCTCTCTCACGATGTAAAAGGTTGTAGAGATAGGGATTGATTCAATTTCGGAACTGTCTACTTCATAACTTTTATAATAAAATATAAAAGTTATTTATATAAAAAATTAAATTTATTATATAATTATAAATATAAAAAAAATCACCTTTTATTTTACTAAATAAATGGTTTAAGTTTACAATCTTATTTGTTATTTATTTTATAAAACAAAATGTGATTTATTCTTTTGATAAAATTGATTTTTACATGGATAATCTTTATTACGAAACTTACAAAGTAAACAGTTCGGATCATCTATGTGAATTCGAATTTAAATTCACAAGAAAAGTATGAATGAGGATGAAAAAATCCAAGTATGGAGGGAAGCCTATCTGAGACAGGTGTGATTGTAGCCTTCTTGTTAAAATTTATTTTATTTTTTATTATTTTAAAAGTAGGTCAAGAGAGAATTAATATTATGTAACCTGGGGAGGTAGTACTGGGAAGGGAAGGTGGCTTGAACCCCTGCCTTGGTTAGCAGCCTTACAAATTCTTAACCAATCAGTTACATGGCTTGCTCAATGAAAGGTATTTGAATTGGCAATACAAGGGTTTGGAATGTAAACGGAATCTAATGCCTATTGCTATCACTCTTGTCATCTGTCCTCTTCTCCCTTGTCATTTGTCATCTTGTCTCACCAATTTACATGTTTGAATTTTCAAGGGACCTAATCTACACAAATATTTAAGGGTCTCCTATCTTTGATGATCAGTGCATTGAAGTCCTGAACTACTCTTGAATTAGTTGAAAGCTATTGTCAAAGTGAAGTGTTTTCTAATGTTGCATTTTACTTGCCAGTCTTTAAGTAAGAGTATGATGCGAAATTGAGAATCATCACTTTGTTTTTCATGAATGACTCATATTTATTTATCCCCGTCTTTATGGTTGTAACCTTTAGCTCCTTTCCTCAGCTTCTTAAGTTGACACTGTGTTAGCAAAAATTTAATTTAAGCCCAATTAATAGTGATTGATCAATAGACTTAAATAAATTTTAAATAAACACAAATAAAATTTAGGCTTTGTGGTTGAGTTCTATGTGTTAAACAGATTATTCTTGAACGTTCAAGCATATCAAAATGTAAATTTATTTGCTCCAAGGAAAAAGAGAAAAATGATATGTTTCATGTTTCGTGTGGCACTTGAATTGAGTGTATTATATATTATCTCCAGAATTTCTTTTAGGATTCTATGAGAATGACATTGACATTTTGGACATACTAGCTATAATCTACAGGTTGTCATTTCTCAATCATTTATTAGAACTATCAGTTATATTCATTAAAATACTTCCTTTGTTACCTTCTTGTTTGGCCAGGGCTTTCTTGGTTTGAGTGGAGCAGTGCTAGTACAAGTGTATCAAACATTTCTCAAGGAAAATCCAAGCGCTTTCATATTGATGCTTGCACTGTTGCCAACTTTTGTTTCCTTATTGTTCATGTGCCTGGTAAGAATTAATCAGACAAACAGTGGCGATGACAAGAAGCATTTGAATGGTTTCTCAGCCATCGCTTTGATTGTTGCTGCGTATCTCTTGATCTTGATAATCTTGGAAAATGTATTTACTTTTCCATTCTGGGCACGCCTTCTTACATTTGTAGTGCTTCTTCTTCTTCTCGCTTCACCTCTTAGGATTGTGGTCAAAGCCCGACAAGAGGACTCATTGAGATTACCACAAATCCCCCCCAACGAGAGGACCCAATTAATCAATGAATCTACCATTGATTCTGAGAATTTCTCTACAGAGGAAGATTCTATTGAGTATCCTGGTAAAGAAATGAATCTCCTGCAAGCAATGCGTACCATAAACTTTTGGTTGTTGTTCGTTGCAATGTTATGTGGAATGGGCTCGGGATTGGCCACAATAAACAACATGAGCCAAATTGGGGAATCGCTTGGTTACACAACTGTGGAGCTAAATACATTAGTTTCTTTATGGAGCATATGGAACTTCCTAGGCCGGTTTGGGGCTGGATATGTATCAGATGTATTCCTTCACACACGAGGCTGGGCACGGCCATTGTTTATGGTTCTGACTCTGGCAACTATGGCTGTTGGCCATGTAATCATCGCTTCTGGTTTTCCCGGTAATTTGTTTGTGGGTTCGGTACTAGTTGGAGTTTGTTATGGTTCACAATGGTCACTAATGCCAACTATCACTTCTGAGATATATGGTGTTGTGCATATGGGTACTATTTTTAACACCATTGCCGTGTCAAGCCCTGTTGGATCTTCTATACTGTCTGTGCTAGTAATTGGCTATATTTACGATACAGAAGCATCGGGTGAGGGGAATTCGTGCTACGGCACTCAGTGCTTCATGTTTTCTTTTTTCATCTTGGCATGTGTTAGTCTTTTTGGGTTTTTTGTTGCGTTGATTTTGTTTTTCCGTACAAGGAGGTTCTATATGCAGATTTTACTCAGGCGGAATTTGGCAATACGGTGAGAAGGGAAAATGCAATTTATTTATTTTTCTGGTTTTTTTGCCAAGTGTAATGTGAGATATGTTTGTGGAAGTGAGGAAAATATGAGGCAAAGATGGTTTTCTGATCGTATGAAATTTTTATTACAATATTGGAAACATTTGTGATTCTTTTGCGTAAAAATGTTAATGATCATTTGCTTGGTTTTCTCTTAGATCATGAACCTTCCAAGTTTTCTGTGCTTGCAGTTGCATATTTCTCAAGATATTAAAGAAATAGCACAGTTGATAATGCTTAGTACAACTCTGATAGGAGTTGAAATGCTCAATCCACACTTCTCCTTAAAATTCAGGTATTAAAGAGAGGGAAATTAGAGCTTTATAACTAGTATAGATGGGGCAGTTCTAGGCGATGCGGGACACATTCCAACACACCCTCCTAGACCACAACATACAGGAGCCAGACAAACGGTACACTAATCATAGGCCTAATTAAGCTCTGATACCAAATTAAAAAGTTTAACTCACACTACTTCTTAAAACACAAGTATTAAGGAGAGGAAAATTGAAATGTTATAACTAGTAGAAATTGGGTAATTCTAATGATGTGGGACACATTCTAATACCAAGTTGAAAAGAAAAGCCCACATTTCTCCTTAAAACTCAGATATTAAGGAGAGGGAAACTAGAGTCTTATAACTAGTACAAATGGGACAATTGTAGGCGATGTGAAACATATTCCAACAATAGGTACTAACAACCACAAAAGCATTTCAATTTTTTCTCAAATTAGACTCGGGTTACCTGGGTTAGCTTGCCCAAGTTGCACAAGGACAAATGTAGAATTTTAATCTTAGAAGGACAAATTTATATGTAACAAAATTTTTTTTGTAATGAATGTATGAATTTCAATGTCAATTTCAATTAACACAAAATCTGAAAAATATTACATTAGATGTTTCTATTCGCATATGAATTTACAAAAATTACACCAAAGTGATATAAATGATATAGAACTCTTAAACAATTTTAATGTTTTGTGAAAGTCATAAAAACGAATATGTTCCATATCTTTTGTAGACGTTTGATGTAACACCCCAAGATTTTATTAACAACAGATATGTGGAAGCTCATAGTCTCAATCATACAATATTGAAATCATTTCTATAAACTAATATTCATTAATTACTTTCCTTGAAATATTACAAAAAAAGACGTCATATACATTTATACATTCATCAACTCTAAGTTATGAATTTATAGCATGTGACTAATATACTAAGAACAACGGTACTATTACAAGTTTATGCCTTAAAGGTTATATGTTTCTAAGACGATACTTGGTTACAATAAAAAAGGGGCGAAACCCAATACAAGGAAAAACCCTAGGTTTGTACAAAAGATAATTACAAAACAAAAGAAGATTAGCCCTCAGCTCTACAATCCTCCCAAGCCAACTCTTTGGCAGAGACATATCATCAGTATCTGAAAGTTGGTTTCCACATAGAGTGAGTTAAAACCCAATAGAGATTTATTTAATATTCTGTATGATACTTAACCATGTCATATAATGAATGCACATGAATGTCATTTACCAAAACAATATACTTTCCTCTTTCAAACAGTGCAATGCCATGTTTATAATTCAATTCATAAACAATTATTTTCAAAACAGAAAACAGGGCAATTGATATACACACTGGGAATCTCTAAGTACATGTCTGCCAATAGGCTATTCAAGCACTACCAAAGCCATTTTATCGGTACTAACCGGAAGGATCGGCACCTAACTGCATGGGTTTCTAGATTTTCACCAAAGACACACATGCCAACATAAATAATAACCACAACCACATCGCCTAACCAGATCTACCACGATATTTAACCTTTTTTTCCCCCTCAAAACAATACATTTTCAATGTATAAATATGAAAACAAGTGTTCAAATACAATGCATGAATGAATGGTTTCAATTAATCTAGTTCTCATGCAATTTTCACAACAATCAATGTTATCCTCCACCGATAGACAAACAAATATCTCTATTCAAAAGATAAATTCAAGAGATATATGTAAGTATACTTTGAGTAAAAATACATGTTCAACTCCACTTTCCAACCTAACAGATATTACCACAATATCATTTCAAATTTCAACTACTCCCTTATCTTTTGTTCATATCAAGAATACCTATGGATTTCCAAATACCCCTAAACAGATATTCTCTTCAACATTTCACCTTCTAAAAGCAATTTCCCAAATTCTCAATACCAACCCATTCCAATATCATTTCCAAGAAAATCTCTCTTTTATAATCCAAGACCAAACCCAAATCAAACCAAATTCAACGCAAATCAACCCAAAACCTTACTCTACTCAAGAGTATGTAACAAGGCTAATGATCAAACGGAAATGTTAAAGAAATCCTACCTCAATAGTAGAAAGAGAAGGCAATAATGAACCAAAAATCAATGGACAGGGATCTTGAACTTTTTCCAGATCAAAATGATTACCTCCTCGCGCTCTATCTTTTATCCAAAACCACGTATACCACGAAACTCACAGATTAGAATGTAGAATGAGATTTGTGTAAGAACTAGATAGAGAAAAGAGAAAATGGGCCTAGACAGCTTTTAGAGAAAGAGAGAAAGAAAGTAGAAAAGTGAGAAAAAGATCTTTTTTCCACAGCTTTATACAAACAGACAGCTTGAGCGACTAAAACACCGTTTGAGCATCAGACACAACACACTAATCGAGTGGCGAAAACTTGGCTTAAGCGAAGAAACAAAACTCTCAGAAGACTTTCCCAGTAGAACAGATCGCTCAAACAAATAGAACACTGCTTGAGTGAATAATGACCACTTCTCCGAAAGTTCAGACTGCAAAAAGACCACTGGAGTAAAGAAATTACGTCTTAAGCAAAGAATGACATACTCCTAGAAGTTCAGTCTGCAAACATGGATTTTGAGAAAAACAAAAGACCGCTTGAGCGAACCCAAGAATAAACAAACAAAAAAAATTTTGAAATACAAACTCCCAACCTATTCAAAACATAACCCAACAATTCAAACATCCACTCTCAACCAACAACAAGACTAGAAGGAGTACAAACAACAAAAAATAGATACTAGACTTCAAATCAAAGAGTACAAAAAGGTCGAGTCTTAATGCAGGCTGCTATATTTGATTAGTTAAGATTTGAAATATATATATATATATATATATCAACACAAATTCAACACGTCCATATTTCACAATTTTCATACTATACAATTTGAAACATATATCTATTTATTTATTTATTTATTTTGTTAACCGAACCAAATGGTCAACACTCAAATAGTATGCATGAGTTTGTTATATTGAAAAGGTTTGGTTAAAGTTACCAAAGCACAATTTTGAGATTCGAAAACAACATTCAGTAAAAGAAATGTCAATTTATTCCTTATCATTGTAAAAATGATTTTTACTGGGATAATCTGTTATGGTTTTAATTCTAGTATTGGTACCACATGTAAGACTTATAGGATCTATATTCCAGAAATTAAAACACCATAATAATCTAATTAAACTAAACAACTTTAACAAATTTGAATAAGTACATTTGTCATTGCCATGAGATATTAAGGAATGGTCTTCACAGTTGGAAAATTCTAGCACCGACTCTTCCCCTCCTCCTCCTAATATTTACATTGTCTTTTTAATGAGACTGACAATTTTTTGATCCACATATATATAGATATATGTAGACCCTAATATGATAGGAGAGGGGATCGGGCCTAAATAAAATAATTACTGAGCCCTCCCATTAAAGAACTCAAATAACTTAAAATAGGTCTTACACCTCCATACCGCATATCTACATATAAAATAATAAATATACTAAGATGGACCATGGCCCAAAACTTTATGGATCACAATCTAATTTTGGGCTCATACTAGTCCATCTATCTGAATCACTTTCAACCCGTTTTTCACAAACCAAACAAAATATAGCCAATGGCAGCCTAATTAAGAATAAATTATTACATTCTCTCACTTAGGCAGCATTGACTACTAATTTAAGAAATATTTTATTTTAATAAAATGACTCTCAAGTTGAACAACTTTAGTGGCCACATAAACATGACTCAGAATACAAACATCTCAGCACAGAATCTCGTTCAATGAGAAATATTAATATCAAATTGTAGCAGAATCATGCTATTGAACAATATAACACCTTCCACAATTACAAACACTGATATCTCGCAAACATGAATTCTTATATATGGTTAATGTGGAATTTCAACAAAATTGATCCAAAATTATAAAACATGCTAATTCCACATTCAGTCCTATGTATGGTCTTCGAAAGACTAGGCAAGGAATTTTATTCCTTTTACACTTCCAAAAGAAGCTTGTGGAGAAGTGGTTTTGGAAATACTCTTCTGATCCTGGGAGACGCTAGTAATCCTCTTCTAGTCACTTGAAAAAGGATAAACACTGCGGTGGGGGGTGCCGGAATTAGTACTCCGACGGACAAGTCAGTCTTTATACTCAAGTTTACTCGTATTCTAAGTTAAGCACAATAGTTCTCACATACCTTTTACTGGCTGATATTCTTCTATTTATATCCTTTCTCTCTTGGGCCTCGGGATTAGGCCCACTTTTTGTTCGTCATTCGACTTCCTTTGTAGCAAATTGCTTTTTACTCAGCCCTTGACCTATTCGGCTATTTGACTGAATAGGGTAGGATTTGGATGTGGGATGAAGCCGAATACTATACATACATTCCAGTTCCCCAAGTTCATATACTCGGCCTATTTACGACCCTCATTATTCAGCCCCCACAATTGCCCCCCAAACATTCCACTAATGACAGTTGGTTGGAATGTTTGGTTTCGAACTTGAAAAGTCAGAGCCAAAATTCGGCGGCTAACCCCATTCCAATGCAGATGTCTGAACACACGCTTTTCGGTCATCATTTCAACTTCCCGCCCCTTTGTACTCTCCTACTTATTATGATTTAAAATTTTGACGTCTTTTCAAATACGCACGCTTTCAGATACTTGCCGCTGGACTGTCTTCTGCGTTATCTCTGCAACTTCCTTTCCTTCATTATCCTTTTTGTCTCTCGTAAGTTCTCTCCCTCTCTATTCTAAGTCCTGTTACCTGGTTTGTTTTTGGTTTCGAGCATTCGTG